CCCCAAAACCCCAAAACCCCAAAACCCCAAAACCCCTATAGCTTTTCCATATATTGATTAGATATAAAATATATTTAAAAATGAGTACTGACAAACAGATAGTTTTCAGCATCATTGGTGATAAGGGAGTTGGTAAGACCTCACTCTTATACTGCTACACAACTGATGAGTTCAACTGGAATTACGAGCCAACCAACTGAGAACACTATGAGGCTACCACAACTATAGAGAACAATGATTTTTTCCTTGAATTTTGGGACACTAGTGCTAACGAAGAAGATGATCAAGCTAGGAAATTTTGTGTAGAAAAATCTCATTGCTTTGTAGTAGCTTTCAGCCTCCTTGGTAATTTTCACAAGTTGACATCTTTAGACCAGAATACATTTGATAATGCAATCGGTAAAACAATTGTGTGAAGTAGCTATAGACAAGTGGATACCGTTTATCAAAGCTCACTGCATGCCAGAAGTCAAGCTCATTGGTGACCGTAATCTAGAAGAATCAAAGAATGTACCTCGTGCTGCCTCACGGGCTAATTTTAAACATGATGTGATAGAGGAAGAGCCCAGCGGTATTCTTCTGGAAATTTAGTATTTAGAGGAAGACCGGAGCTCAGAGCTAAGCAAACCTAAAAAGCCTTCTCATATTGAAGAATCAAAGGAGAATAGAGAAGTGAGTGCTGATGGTGAGGGAGAAGGCAGTGATAACTCAGACACCACCATTAATACAGGCGATGCTGAGTTTCAAGTCAGTAACGAGAAATGGAACATTGTTCTCGGTAAATTCTATAACTTATCTATCCTAGTTGGTACCAAGAAAGATCTCCTCAAGGACGAGAAATTGGTGAATGATTATAAAAAGCAAGGGATGTATCCTGTTAATACCCAAGATGCTGAAAATTATGCACTAGAGCATGGTGTATTCTATTTCGAAACCAGCTCATTGCTAGGAGACAACATTTCAGAATCATTCAATGTGTTGATTCAGAGTTTTTATACTCAGACTGACTTTTTCACCCAAACAAATGTGAGCGCTGACATTTAAATTTTAGGAAACCAGTGAAAATATTGAGGAAGAGGATTCTGAAGAGCCTCCATTTATCCCTCAGATTAATAGTAATGGCTTCACACTGCCATTTGAGAAACAAATAGAGAAAATGAAAGAGAAAAACAGCAAAAATCCAAAGAATGTCAAAAAGAAGGCAGATCAGGTTGGAAATGAAAAAGATGAAGATGATGATACTGGAGCTTTGGAGCGGAACAACTCCGGTGCTGCTAATGATCCTGACGACAAACAAGAAGGAAAGGATGGTGCAAATGGCAAAAAAGATAAAAAGTGTATCATATTCTAACTATCTATTTTCAACTGGGCCTGAATATTTTGGGGTTTTGGGGTTTTGGGGTTTTGGGGTTTTGGGG